CGATCGGTTTGGGAAGCACGTGCGCGAGGGGTGCATTACATAGCCCGGTTGGATGTCCCCTCGTTTCGGCTTGCTTTGTTATCGAAGCAAGCCATACTAAGCGTAACACCATACTTCTAATGACTATTTGAATAGCCTTTCCATTGTGACGTAATGCTCAATGACAATGGAGGTAAACAAAATGTATAACTAGTTGATTGTCTTTTCCTCGTCGGAGTGAATACAAACGCGAATAATCGGCCCCCTTTAAAAGAGCTGCGCCCGTTACCCGCTCATATGGTGTGTATGTTTTGCTTTTTCCTTGAAGCAACGCTTGATGAAATCACCACCATGGAAAATCAACACCCATCAAACAACGTTGTGAATCGAAGCTGAAGAAAACAAAAGCCTCCTCCCCTGTCAGTTAGGTTCGGTTCCTACTCCAAGAGCTTCAGCTCAGCATCATCCTTATACCAAGCAAACGGTTAATCACCTGTTTTCGAGATTGCTAGCGGCCGTCATTAGTCTGTGCCCGTCGAATCCGATAACAGGCTCAGGAACAACAACACCAACGAAACCACAAATGATCAACGGGTGATTCATCCATCGATCATATCGGTGGGTGGCGTGTGCTTGGCGGCCGCAAAACGGAACTATTCTCACACACTCCTCAGCCTACCAACCAGCCTATTCTACAGCTGTTGCTGTTTTTTCAAGATTTCCCGCTTATGGATCTTTTAGCAGCAACCGTAAATCAATTTAAGTTAGAGAGGTGTTTTTGTTTCGTGCGTTCTTCCACCAGGAGTAGGTACAGCGCGGGCGGTGAGAGTGAAAGCCTCTGCGAACCGGAGTGGTACGGTTTTTGAATAATTAATTTCAGGTGCGGGATTGCGAGCAGTTGGATCGTGAAGGGGTGTGGAAGGGCAGAGTTCCAGAACCGTTCTTGGAGGAGAGGAATTCTAATTAATTTAAAGTATGAGAAATTCATTGTTTTCAAGGGTAATTAATCAAACGTTCAACCTAGTTTTTTTTTTTTTTGGTGGGGCAATTAGAATTTCTACCTCAACGTTGAGAACATTTTTACGATTGCGCGAATGTGGTGCTAATTTAGGGTTCCTCGTTTTCGGTTGCTTGCGGAGTCTTTGATAACCGCAAGAGGGTAGTATGAGTGTCTAACGAGTTGTACAGGTACAATGTAATTAACGAATTTCGGTGAATGGGAACAAATTAAGGAAAATCACGAAAACAATCATTCAATTTAGGTGGAATGTTGTGATTTGTAATGGGTGTAAGGTTGCATACAAATCATCCGAACTTTTGAACATTGTTGCACTGAACACCCATCGCCTAGTGGAATCCCTTGATCCACTAGACTTAGTCGCGTATGCTGGTTCTTGCCATTTTAGACGTTTTCGTCCTGTAGTTGAAATTGGTGAAGGGGTCTTCAAAACTATTACTTAAGGATAGCATCAAATATATCATATTAACAATATGATCCATTCATGCCTTTTCCAAATATTTCAATGGCGACCCGCAAAATATTGCTTCACGCACCATCTAGCGTTGAAAAAGGTCAGCAACAATCATTCAATTACAATCGAGGGGTGCGAATATAGCACTTATTACAAAAGTAAGAGTCACATTACTTTCATTAATTACATTGTGTGTATTACTTTAAAATTTGTCTGACATGTCACTGTTGTCATCAAATAAAATAATAAGCTGAAATACATCCATTTGAAATATTAAACCAATTTCCATTTGGTTTACCCCTCGTTACGATAAACAAATACATTGGTAGCCTTTTTGGCCACAGAGGTGCTTTCAGCGCTAAAAATTTGGTTCGCCAGCTAAGCGAATGAGTGGATCATATTGTTAATATAATATATTTGATAGCAAGCATTCACGGTAAACAGTCCATCGTCATCCATTTCTTCCATCACAGCTCTGTTTCCCCTGAAGTATGGCAGCACTGCTGAATCTTGCCATCGTTTGACTGACAAGACGTATCCAGCGAATTTTCCACTCTCAGTAAATGTTGTATGATTAGGAAACTCTATTCGGCAATTTAGAGTAGATTGTAAAACTTATAAAAAACTAAAAAAATAGTTTATAAAAATAAATCTGCTGCAATTTCCAATGGGTTTCATTCAAAAATCGAAACTTAGATTAGTTTCCCGGTAAAGGCTGACTAAAAGTAAATTGGTACGCACAAAAAGACCTGTAATTCGTGATTCAATTAATTTAAAAAGTCCGTTAATGGTTGCTTTACCGTACTTTTATTAAACTTCACATTTACAGCATTAGACGGTTACTGCATTTGCTGGATGTTCTTGACTGCCCCGCCACTTCGTCGAAGTCGCTGCTTTGAAATTGCCCAGTATTTTTCTAGTGGTTCAAATTTCGGGCAATTCGGAGGATTCATTAGCTTGGGGCAAAATCGATCTTGTTGGCAGCATACCACTCCAGAACCACCTTGGAGTAGTAGCAGCTGGCCAAATCGGGCCAAAAGATGACTTTGTCCCTACGATTGCGGATGAACGGCAATACACGCTTTTTCAGGCATTCTTCTATGAAAACTTGGAATGTCATCGTCGAGGATGTGACGAATGGTTCCGTTTTCAGGCCACAACTGCAAATCGCTTGCTAAATCATGGCCTTCTTTTGATCCTGTCGGTAAACACGAACTTGAATCTCCCCGGCACATCCCGACGTCCAGTCGCGATGTAAAACTTTTGACCAGGAAGCTGCTTAAAATCGAGTTCGACGTATATTTCGTCATCGATCATAGTGCAGCCCTTGTGTTTCGTCAAAACACGGTCGTCTTGCACGCTTTTTGGCCACGGAATTCTGCTTCATGTGCCGGTTCGGATGTTTACTGGCTTTGTACGATTTGAGATCTTCCCTGGCAAAGATGTTCTGCACCGTTTGAAAGTTGGCGTTGTACTTTCTGGCCACATCTCGGATCGAAAGACCGGGGTTGGCTTTAACACACCTCAATACATTGCTGCGCAGCCGGTTCCAGTTTTTTCGTAGGTCCGTTGATTCCTTTCCACACTCAGGGTTTCCTTGTAGGTTTTGAGCACTCGACAAACTGTTGTTTTCGGCATTTTCAGAACTTTAGCCAACTTGGAACCGGACCACTCCGGATTTTCCAGGTGTTTGTGCACAATATTTTTTTCTTCTTACGAGATCAATTTGACGTTATTTCTGAACGCGATCGACTACTTTGATCAAACTTGCACCAGTTGTTCTTTATAGAAGTGTAAACAAACTACTGTCAAAGATTTTCGATTCCGAACACTAGAGGCGTGTCAGCGGCGCGCGAGGGGCGTACCAATTTACTTTCAGTCAGCCTTTACTTTAATTTCATGTTCAAACTAGGTACTGTAAATTTAGAGTTAGGTTATCAGTGTTCTGTTCTTCAACATAACGAAGGGTATTTGACACATGACATGAAAATATAAAAATATTACATTTTCAGAATATCGCGGATTGAATTTACCTAAACAAAATCCCCGGGGAATCTCCTCCAAATTATCTTTAAATTCTGTTTGGAATTCCCTTTAAATTCTCGATAAAATTATCTTGAAATCCTTCATACAATTTCTTTGCAACTTTTATGAGAATTAGACTTGGGTTTTTCTTTTAAATTTTTTAAATAAATTCTTTTAAATTATCCTCTAACTGGATTCTTCAAGAGTATTGAAATAACTGAACATTCGTAATCTGCATTAAACATGGAACCGAAGTCAAAATATAAAAATATCAAACGGATGAGTTCATCTGAGTCATGCTAGTTGTGAAGAGATCATGGTTCAGAGAATACTTACAGTATTTTCTAACTGTTGCAAGGAACGATCCTTGAACACGTTGGGCATCCGTTTTCCATTTTTAAATCCTTACTTAAGGGGAAGTTCACCGCTCCGAAAAAAAATAATTATGTTTTGATTTTTCTAAAAATATTGAAAGGTATCAAAATTCTAAAAACAAACACATTTTTTCTAATTTTTCAAAGAAAATTCACGTGCCAAAATATTTTTTTTTAAGTCATCATGGCATAAAGTTGGATTTAAAAAAACCAAGGCGCAAGACAGCTCCTAATCATGAGAAATGTCAGAGTTGCTTTTGAGGCATCTCGAGTAACTCACATTGCTCAGTGAGCAAGATCGCTGTCATCTGCTTTCTCACTTTTCACATCACAGCAACGTTTGAAGGTGCACCTTCATGCAAAGCCGAAAAGCTGCTGTCAAATAAAACAACAATAAAAGCGGAACTCGGAGACACTTAAATCATCTCAGTTTAATAACCTTCGTTCGACCCTTACCAACCGTGAACGTGAAAGGAACCTGTTGCAACCTTACACTTACGACGGTCGAATGCTTATCTGGTTGATGTGGTTGAAAAACCCGATCTGCCTGACCAAATACTCAAAATCGATACTCGTCGAAGCAATCCCGTCCCATCGCTTGACAAACTGCTGTTGGGTGGAACTGCAATCAGAGCTCTGAATTACCAAGGCGCCGTTCTGCTCACGGGGGACATCCATCCTCGCTTTTGGTGCTTTTGCAGGGCTTTCCGGATGGTCGTGATTCGGTCCCGTTTTTGCTATACACTACCGAGATTTTGCTGCGGCCGTCGACCGAAGTCTCCAGGAGAAAGTCGACGAAGAGAATCTGTCAGCTTGATTTGTGCCTCGTCTTCCTGACGGGTTTTCACTTCGGTTTCGTCTGGTAGATCGTTAATGGGTTTGAAGTTCAAAAGAGGATCGCACTCACCGGAAACAGCAGCTACTTCATCGTCATCCTCCTCTTCGGCTTCGGCAGTGGCAGCGGCTGCACTGATGCTCTGGCTGAAATTCCACCGGGTAATGGTTTGTAGCGGTGCCTTCGGAGCTGGACTTGGTTGTTGCCCCACCGGGAGATATTTTCTATACCGAAAACTGTGGCGGCGGGTGCCGTTGAAGGGACCATGGTTGAAATATTACTCACTACTCTATGTTTGCCATGGTGCCAACGGGAATGTTAGTCGAAAGGGAATCGGAGGATCGGAGTTAGTTCTTACCACATTGACTGGTGATGATGATGGTGATAAGTGTGGTAGATAAGGTTGATGCGGAATAATAATAATAATAAAATAAATAAATAAAATACTTGAGAGTTGTGTCAAGTAATGCAACACTCCATTTGAGTTGAGCTAAATTAGCGTGAAGCATGACAGATGTGAAAGGAAATCCTGACACAGCAAGCAGTGGTGGATAAATGAGGAAAAAAAACGGATGGTATAAATATGAGCTACCTAAACTTATTGAAGACATTCTTGTAACGAACTTTGGAAGCGACGGATAGCAGCAGCAGCAGCAGCAGTAACAACAGCAGCAGCAGTAACAACAATAGTAACAGCAGCAGTAATGAAAGCGGAGCGGCTGTAGCAGCCGAGATTCGTGTCGCCGTGACCGAGGCTGGAAACCTCGGTCCGGTCACGACAATGGCGCAGACGGTAGATCAGTAAGTAAGTATAGTGTAATGGAAAGAATTACTCTCCGACGGAAGGGCGGAGCAGTAAAAATTGTTTCCGTAGGCTCCTTGACGCTGGAGGCTGGAAACAAATAAAAACAAAAAAAAAATGTCCCTGGTAGGCTCCCTGACGGAAGGGCAGTGGAGTAGGCCGGGAGATAAAAAAAAAGAAGCTCCCCGTCAGAAGGACGCAAGAGGAGATATGTCTCCGGTAGGCTCCCTGGCAGAACGGCCAGTGGAGTAGGCCGGAAGATAAAAAAAGAAGAAGCTCCCCGTCAGAAGGACGATACAGGAGAAATGTCTTCGGTAGGCTCCCTGGCAGAACGGCCAGTGGAGTAGGCCAGGAGATACAGAAAAAGCTCCCCCCGTCAGAAGGACGGTAGAGGAATATACCACGGTATTTCGGTAAAAATGTACTTGAGAGTTTTGAAATGAACTCTAAGACAGATTTGACTAGAACTCGTAGTCAAGTGAGTGATTTCAGAGCATTTTTTTTAAGTTGCTCTGTGAAAACTTCCATGTCGATTATAAAGGATTGTAAGATTCTAAGGAATCGAATTAATTTCAATGACATCTCGAAAAAAAAAAAAGTTTTAGATAGTGAAAATATTGTATAAATGTATGAAAATTCTGAGCAAAATTGTGAGACAATTCAGATGTGAATGGCATGGGAATTCTAAGGACATGAGATTTAAAAAAAAATAAGGGAGTTTCAGTAAATTCTTAGAAAAGGAACTCAGATAAAATTGATGACATTATTTTGAAGTCGTTGGCATTGGTAAATTTCATGAAATTGATGTGAGTTTATGATATTATTGAAATCAAAATTAAGGCTGAAATGCTTGATGCTAACGGTAGTCTTTAAATTGTGGCAAAGATGATTTTTTTTCTCGCGATGAGATCAACATTGTTGTTGATATTAATGATTGTGTTAGCAATAATGTTAAAAAAAATGGATTTGGTTATAATGCTGAACCAAACGGCAATGTTTAAGTTGACAAGTGATGTTAAAGTTAATGGCATAGTAAAGGATGTAGCTCATGGTATTATTGACATCGATGATAATGTTGATAACTTCTGCAGAATTGAATTTATTAGTTATGGTTATGTGAATGGTAGTATTGATATTGAGGTTGATATTTCTGCCGTGATTTTTTTTTCTTAATTTTCGTGATACTGTTGATGTTTAAAGTGATTTTAGATGATGATGTAGTCTGATTAAGGACGACGGTGTCAGCGGTAAAGCTGATGACATTTATGTTGAAATTGTCGACATTATTGCAGTCGATCGTAATTTATCGACGATGTCAACACCAATTTCAATATTAGCGTTGATGATGATGTTGAAGATTGTGGCTTAATTGAAGTTGATGATGATGTTAAAGTGTATGGTTAGGTTGGTGTTGAAGGTAACGATGAATTATTTACTGAGTTGAAGATGATGCGATTATGAAACTGATATTGATTTAAAAATTATAAATTCTAAGCAATATTGAAAAAGAGACTGATGACGTGGATGACATTATAAAAATTGATTTAGTAATGATGAAAATTATTGCAATATCTAAGTTGATGATTATGCTGGATTTGTCAGTAATATTGAAGATGATAATGATAAAGAAGTTTATGAACAGCCCCTGAAGTAGGAAAAATAAACCTATGAGGAGCAAGCTTTGTGTATAGTGGTGTTGAAAATCATGACTTTATGGAAATTGATCGCTATGTTTAAATGGATGAGGATGTGAAAGTTGAAATGTATGTTAAAATAAACGGATATATTAAACATTATGATAATATTTAAAATTATGGAATTGTTGTAGCTTAAAAATATTGGAATTCATGGCAGAATTGAATTTGATGAATATTTAAAAGATGTTGGCAATATTTAAATTGTCAGCAATAATGATGTTGTAATCGGAAAAAATTGAATTGTAGTTGACGATGGATGGTTAATGCAAAAGAAGTAATATTGAAGTGAATAATAATATTGCGAATCTTATGAGAAATTTTCCATCCGCTATCACAGAGTTCTACTATAGCTGTCAAAGTTCCAGTGTGCTGTATATTAAAAAAAAATAAAAACAGGGTTAACTGACATATTTTAAGTATTTTGCTGGCGATTCTCTGAAACTTTTTTAATCTGAAAGATTCGATTAAACATCATTTTATTAAATTTATGTCATATCTAGAGACGACAAAGGATGTGATTTTAGGTTGTAGTTGGAGTCAATGTTGAAAACGATTGAACTGTATGATGATGTTGAGATTGATGGCATAATGGAAGGTGATAATAATGTTGAAGCTAATGGGATATACAAGCTGACTTTTATATTACATGTAATGGTGATATTAAAGATACTGTTGAAATTTATTATGAACTTGAAGTAGATGCAAAGTTAAAAATGATTAAATTTATGTGAATGCTGAAATTCATGGATATGTTGACGCTGATTTTTGTGTTGTAGATGACAGCAATGGTACAGTTAATTATAGGTTTGTAGATGATGATTAAATTGAAGTTGATGGTAAGCACTCATATGTTTACGACATGCCATTTTTTATATGATAGTAATAATGATGATGAAGTAATAAGTTGACGATTAAGTTGCATTTGCAGGCAATGTGGAAGATGTTAATTATTGCAAGCTTGAAATGATTGTAAATGTTTATGTACACGGTTATTTTGAACTTGATCTCTATGTAGTAATTCTTTTTTTGTTGAAGTTTATGGCGTTCTGGAATTTGATGATACTATTGATAATAATGATGATGGTAATAATGAAGCATGTGTCAATTTAGATCCTGATGCTTATGACTGATACTGAAGATAATGGAAAAGTTGAAACTGATGTCATTGTTTGTAGTAAATGTAGAAATGATGAATTCTATTGCAATAATTGAAAAATATGTATATCTATATGCTTCAATACTGTTTTGGTTGTGTAGGTTAGCAAAAACAAAATGAGTTTGCATGTGTACTCTAGAGTACAGGAGGGGAAGAATGTGGTAGATAAGGTTGATGCGGAATAATAATAATAATAAAATAAATAAATAAAATACTTGAGAGTTGTGTCAAGTAATGCAACACTCCATTTGAGTTGAGCTAAATTAGCGTGAAGCATGACAGATGTGAAAGGAAATCCTGACACAGCAAGCAGTGGTGGATAAATGAGGAAAAAAAACGGATGGTATAAATATGAGCTACCTAAACTTATTGAAGACATTCTTGTAACGAACTTTGGAAGCGACGGATAGCAGCAGCAGCAGCAGCAGTAACAACAACAGCAGCAGCAGCAGTAACAACAGCAGCAGCAGTAACAACAATAGTAACAGCAGCAGTAATGAAAGCGGAGCGGCTGTAGCAGCCGAGATTCGTGTCGCCGTGACCGAGGCTGGAAACCTCGGTCCGGTCACGACAATAAGATGATGGGATCGCTGCATTATAGGTGGATTTTCAGATGTTTAGACGTATATTGGAGAACTTTTTTGATCAGAGATGATCCTTTCGGAGTGACGACTGGGACTGGTTGCTGAGGAGGAAGCACAACCCTGAAAGCTGGTTGGAAGTGTAGGTTGTTATTGGTAGTAACCAGGCACCGGCACAGGTTCTTCCATAATATTACAGTTATTCGAAAGGCTCAGAATACACTTGGGATTACTTTATTTACTAACAAAACTGACGTCTAATATGAAACGTATGTGCTTAAAAAGAGTAAACGGAGTAGGCAGAGAAAATATTGAGGTACATTGAGTTACTCGCGAGCTACTCGCTGCAAAAAAGCAACTTAGAGTTAACCTGTCTCACCTCTTGCAAAAAACCATAAAACATCGAATTTTCGGTTTCATGATGAGATAGAAAAAAAATATTTTTACATGTAATTTGTTGAAAAAAATCTAAGGAAGAAACTGATTTTCTTGGATTTTTGATAATTTTTCCCAATATTTTTTTTTTTATTTTCGAGCCGGTAAGCTCGCTGTTTTACCAGTTTCATGTTGCAAGTATGAAATATAATTTTCTAGCATTAGGTTCACTTCGAGGTAAACAAAGTAGTCAACCTTAGCAGCGATTGGCGAAACGTCAACATTCAATAGTGATGCCGTTTTGTATGACGGAGACGAGCCAGCCAACGGCTGAAAGTCTCCTTAATAAAGATATATAAAAAAAAAAAAAAAGTTTTGTATGATATTGTTTGTGTACTACTTGTCAGTGTGTGCCAAGGGGTTGGTCTACACAGAGGGCCAAAATCAAACTTGGGCACACCCGGGCGCAGCCATTGGCACTGTTTGGCAGCCATGGTGACAATTTTTATGATCTTTAAAGTTACTGGCAACACTGAACTTTTTCTGCACCTGCGCAGTGATCATGTGTCAGAATTAGTTATTGATGTTGCCACAATACAATCCAATTTTTACAAACCCCAACCGTGAATCTCATCATCAAGTCCCGCCAGTGATTCTCCAAAATCGACTCCTGTGACCGGAGGAAAGTACGTTCAACGAGCGGTTCTGATCAACCTTGCGGCTGGTACATGGATTCGGTCCGAGCGGACAGCTGTTCCGGCCGAATAACTTCGTTTTCGGACAATTCGGTGCTGGTAGCAACTTGGTCAAACGACACTACACCAAGGGTGCCGAACTGGTGGATTATATGCTGGATGTTGTCCGTAAGGAATCCGAGGGTTGCGATTACCTGCAGAGCTTTTAGCTTACGCACTTGCTCGGCGGTGGAACTGGCTCTTTTGTAACGTTGGCGGAATTCAGTAGCAACAATACCTTCCTCTCCACAGGCATGGGCGCGCTACTGATCTCGAAGATTCGAGAAGAATACCCGGATCGCATCATGAACCCGTACTCCGTCGTTCCATCGGTCAAAGTCTCTCCCATCGTCGTAGAGCCATACAACGCTACGCTAAGTGTTTATCAGCTAGTGGAAAACACGACATTTGCTTCCGAACATTGAAGCTCACCACCTCTACCTATGGCGATTTCAATCATCTAGTCTCGGTTACGATACCTGGCGATCAACCCCTTCATAATCCACATCCTTCAGAGATCGTTCATTGTCTGCATCTTTTACCGTCCTCAAAAACTTCCGGAAATCGCCCAACCAATGCTCAATATAATTTAACACCTTGAATTTCACCTTCACCTTGCTGAGCATCTCTTCCACCTGCAGCCGGAACAGATTCGAGTGGTAGCAATATTCCGTTTCCTTCAACCGATTGATTTCCTCTACCGTCGGCGGTTTGTACAGCTGCTTCATGGCTTTGATCTTCCGTTGGTGTTCTTCGTCTGTCCGTCGCTTGGAATGGCTTTGCGCTTAGCGCTTTTCGATTCCGAAAATCCGATAGTCGTGACTAGCACAAAGCGTCCACCGCTTTCTTGACCGCTGTCGCTTTCCGGCTCCGGCCGCTCAAAATCGTCGCAGTCATTTGAGTTCTTTGTTCTTTGGGCTACAAAATGGTAAGTTGACAACCTGGAAGGAGCGGAATACCTAGCCCTGGTCCTCACAAGTTCCTACTTCACGCCTCCTCGAGTCATATGATAACAAAAGACTACCAGCGGAAACATGGACACAGCTGGGTGGCGTAGCCTGAGCAATGTTGCCAGTCCGGCAATAGCAAAGTGAAGAGGTGCGACGCGAACACTGGCGCGGTAACCATAGTACGGTGATAGAGGAAATGCTTCACCAAACCCGAGCGTCTGTTCACCATGGAGGTGCGGCTCAAAACGGCGTCTATTCTCCATGTTAGGAGCGGCTGATCACCGTCCTAGTGCCAGCGTGGGACTCTAAACAGAGCTGTGCACGATGGTCCCCCGGCGAGACAGGGGGTTGGGGCAGGCCCAACAAGCCGCCCTGAAAAAAAAACAAAGTTGCAAATACCGAAGAAAGAAATACGGATCGGAATAATCGGCACAGACCTACGCGACGAAATAAGGACTACGATTGGAAACTCGGAACATGGAACTGCAAATCGCTCGGCTTCCCGGGTTGCGATAGGTTAATCTATGACGAACTTCAACCACGCAACTTCGAAGTCGTAGAACTGCAGGAACTTTGCTGGACGGGACAAAATGTATGGAAAAGCGGGCATCGAGCGGCTACTTTCTACCAGAGCTGTGGCACCACCAACGAGCTGGGAACCGGCTTTGTAGTGCTGGGTAAGATGCGCCAACTCGTGATTGGTTGGCAGCCGATCAACGCGAGGATGTGCAAGTTGAGGATTAAGGGCCGTTTTTTCAACTACAGTATCATCAACGTGCACTGCCCACACGAAGGGAGACCCGACGACGAGAAAGAAGCGTTCTATGCGCAGCTGGAGCAGGTGTACGACGGCTGTTCGCAACGGGACGTCAAAATCGTCATTGGCGACATGAACGCTCAGGTAGGACGGGAGGCAATGCATGCCGTATCGAACGACAACGGCCAACGATGCGTGAGCTTTGCAGCCTCTCGGGGTATGGTAGTTCGAAGTACCTTTTTTCCCCGTAAGGAATCCACAAAGCCACCTGGAGATCACCTGACCAACACATAGAAAACCAAATCGATCACGTTCTAATCGACGGGAAATTCTCCTCCGACATTATCAACGTCCGCACGTACCGCAGTGCGAACATAGATTCGGACCACTACCTAGTTGCAGTATGCATGCGCTAAAAACTCTCGACGGTGCATAACACACGTCGAAGTCGAACGCCGCGACCCAACATTGAGCAACTACGGGACGCCGGAGTTGCGCAGGACTACGCGCAGCAGCTGGAAGTTGCACTACCCACGGAAGAGCAGCTTGGCGCAGCCTCTCTTGAAGATGGCTGGAGGGACATCCGTTCAGCCATAGGTAGTACTGCTGTAGCGGCACTAGGTACTGCAATCCCGGACCGAAGAAATGACTGGTTTGACGGCGAATGCAAAATGTTAGTAGAGGAGAAGAATGCAGCACGGGCGAGAATGCTGCAATACAGATAAGCGCGAAAGACCGAGATCGCGAGGCGATGAAAAATCTGTACCGCGTAAACGACACACGGAAGTTCTATGAGAAGCTAAATAGTTCACGCAAAGGCTACGTGCCGCAAGCCGATATGTGCAAGGACTTGGACGGTAACCTTCTCACGAACGAGTGTGAGGTGATTGAGGGGTGGAAGCAGTACTATGACGAGCACCTCAACGGTGAAGCAGCAGAAAACGAAGGTGGCACGGCAACAGACCTTGGAGCACGCGCAGAAGACGACAGGTCGGATCGGTCGGCTGAAGAACAACAAAGCAACTGGTGTAGATCAACTACCAAGTGAGCTATTAAAATACGGTGGTGAAGCACTGGCTAGAGCGCTGCACTGGGTAATTGCCAAGATTTGGAGGAGGAGATATTACCGGAGGAGTGGATGGAAGGTGTCGTATGCCCAATCTACAAAAAGGGCAACAAGTTGGATTGCTGCAACTATCGCGCGATCACACTGCTGAGCGCCGCCTACAAGGTACTCTCCCAAATTCTATGCCGCCGTCTGTCACCATATGCAAGAGAGTTCGTGGGGCAATACCAGGCGGGATTCATAGGTGCCCGCGCTACCACGGACCAAATTTTCGCGATTCGGCAGGTTCTGCAGAAATGCCGCGAATACAACGTGCCCACACATCATTTGTTCATCGATTTCAAATCCGCATACGACACAATCGATCGAGATCAGCTATGGCAGTTTATGCACGAGTACGGACTTCCGGATAAACTGACGCGATTGGTCAAGGCGACGATGGATCGAGTGATGTGCGTTGTTCGAGTATCGGGGACACTCTCGAGTTCCTTTGAATCTCGAAGAGGGTTACGGCAGGGTGATGGACTTTCGTGTCTGCTGTTCAACATCGCGTTAGAAGGTGTGATCAGAAGAGCTGGGATAGACACGAGTGGCACGATATTCAGGAAGTCCATCCAGCTCCTTGGCTTCGCCGATGACATTGACATTATGACACGGAACTTTGAGATGATGGCGGAAACGTACATCAGACTGAAGGCTGAAGCTAGACGGATTGGACTCGCCATCAACGCATCAAAGACAAAATACATGAAAGGAAGAGGTTCTAGGGAAGACAATGTTAGCCTCCCACCCCGAGTTCAGATTGACGGTGACGAAATCGAGGTGGTCGATGAGTTCGTGTATTTGGGCTCACTGGTGACCGCCGAAAATGATACCAGCAGAGAAATTCAAAGACGCATTATGGCAGGGAATCGTGCCTACTTTGGACTCCGGAGGACGCTCCGGTCGAATAAAATTCGCCGCCGCACGAAGTTGACTGTCTACAAGACGCTGATTAGACCGGTGGTCCTTTACGGCCACGAGACCTGGACTATGCTCGTGGAGGGCCAACGCGCCTTTGGTGTTTTCGAACGGAAGGTGTTGCGTACCATCGGTGGAGTGCAGATGGATGACGGAACG